TTTAAACCAAGGAAACTATAAAAAAATACCAAAAAGGATTTTTTTTTTTTTTTGGAGATAGGGTCTCCCTGTAGCTCCAGCTGAACTGGAACTCACTATGTAGACCAGGCTGGCCTCAAATTCACAGAGATCTGCTTGCCTCTGCCTCCCGAGTGCTGGAATTAAAGGTGTGTGCCCACCACACCCGGCTTGGAATGAAAATTTTTAAATCCCTATAGTACACAAGTAAGCAAGAAATCAGAAGCTGCTAAAAATGAAAAATCCTGAAGAAACGAAAGAAAAAGAAGCTTTAACGCGTGCCAAAATATAGTCTCTCATATGTTTCAGAACTGTAATCCAACCAGATATAATTCTTCCCCAAGGACAATCCCTCTAATGCTCCAAGGCGGCCTCATGCTAGCACAGACACCGCAGCGCCCTCCATGGACGAGTCTGAGCAACCCATATGGACAGACATTTATTTGTCTTTAATAATTACTGAGCAAGGACTTTGCACTGTGTATCTTGTGATTGGCTGAATTCATCATGAAACTGCCAGAGATGCATGAGGAGAGACCAATCCATTTGCCTGACAACTTCATTCAAAGTGAACACCATTGTAACTAAACAAAAACTGACAGGAAATGAATGGCATTTTGAAGTCCATGGACTCTGTGAAGGGCACTTAGCTGTTAAGTGGATTTAAATATAGTTTTGAAAGTTGAAGGGCTTATAAAAATTTTGTTTAATGCTAACTTTAAGTCAATTGTGAGCAAACACTTTGGTCAGTATTTAAACCTTACATAGCCCTTACATGAAGCTGACGGTTCCTGTCTTGTCATTTTAAATGGAGAAGAAGACTGAACCATAGAGCAGCTGAAGTTTTGATACGTAGGGCCCTCAGTGAAAAGTCTGAGCATCTAAGGAGCTAAGTCTACTGTCCACAAGACTGTTATCACTTTGTGTGAAAATGTTTAAACCTGCTGGATGTGGGGCGCACACCATTAATCCCAGCACTCAGGAGGCAGACCTCTGACTTCTGAGGCCAGCCTGGTCTACATGGTGAGTTCCAGGCCAGCCAGGACTACAAAGTGTGACTGTGTCTTAAATATATATTCCTATACAACAGAGATAAAAAACTCTTTCACGATTTCTACTTAAATGCCTAAAAAATTAAGAAGAATAAAACTCCAAGGTTAAACAACAGTATCTAAAGACTTCAAAAGAAGTCTTCCATACCTCAAAAAAAAAAAAAAAAAAAAAAAACCCAAAAAAAACCCCTAAAAAAAAAAAAAAACACAAAAACACAAAAGCAATCACTTAAAAAAAAAAAAAAATCACTTCTATTGTCATAGAAGAAAAGAAAGCTCTAAGAAGGCTTTAACGCCTTTGCCGAAAATACAATCAAAAGAAAGAATCTTCCTAAAATAATACAGGTTGAGCATCCCTAATGCAAGTCCCAAATGCTCTAAAACTTTTTGAACACCAACATGATGCCATGAGTGGAAATTTCTACACCTGATCTCAAGTGACAGGTTAGTTAAAATGCAACTACACTTGGGACTGGAAAGATGGCTCAGCGGTTGAGAGCACTGGCTGCTCTTGCAGGGGATCAGGTTCGGCTCCCAACACACACAATGGCAGCTAACATCAGTCTGTAACTCCACTTCCAGGAGATCCGACTCCTTCTTCTGGCCTCCACGGATATTGCATACATGCAGACAGAACACTCATGGACATAAACTAAAAAAAAAAAACCTCAGGTCATAGTCAGCAACCCTTCAGTTATCTCAGTAAGTCAGCTCAGCACATTCACTGGTTCCCCAGTAAAACTTTAATCAAATATTGGTTTGACACTAGAACCTTAAAAGGGAATAAGCATTGCTTAGTATGCCCCAGAAAAGAATTCTCACAATAGATGGAAAATTTATTTATTAATGTTATTATGTCTCATAATTATTTAAAAAATGAGAATGTAAAAGATGTTAAAAGGATATGGGAATGGAGATACTTTCCAAAATAGAGAGAAAAAGTGAGAAAGCCTAAGCAAGTGATGAAGGTCTGTGTAGGCTTGTTATGATATATAACCAATGAGACTAAAAATAATAATACTCATATTCTTAAAATTTCTAAGGTCATAGTTTAGTAAACTAGTTTAAGGAACAAAATATATATCTAATAAAGGTTTATCTGAGAACATTTGATATTTCTACCCAACTTTTATCTACATAGCACATGATAATTAAAAGCACTAGACTGGTGGAGCCAACCTTATTGGATGTCTAACAGCCGTACTTTGAGGCCTATACTAATTGGGTGAGAGGGATTTAAAGGACAGTTTTTTCCCCTTATCTGCCAAGGTCGACTAAGATCCAGGAGACTATGGAACAGCTCTCAAAATGTCCTGTAACTGTGGTGAGTCACCTGTCCTTTTGTTCAGGGAGGCCATGGAGACCCCACCAGATGGGCTTGAACCAGTGTCTGGTCTAGAAAGAGGAGGGTCAACTCAGAGGAAACATTTCTTCCATGCTTCCAAGTGAAGCCAGCCATGGTCGAGCAGGACCTTTGACTTATTTTCACATAGATGGAACTGGTAAAAGAAAGGAGCCAGGGGCTCCTTCCAAGTCCGTGTGACTTGGAAGAGATCCTCAAACGACCTTAAGTGTAAATCTAAATTGACTTATTTGGGCCAACTGTATGGTCTTAAACACCCAAAGGAAAGTATAACCAAAGAGTAAAGTCATCAGTATATTTCTTTAAGAGTTCAAAGGATTATACTTCTCAGACATTAGGCTTAAGCCCATACAAAAAGTTATTTAGACAATTAGCTCTCACTGATGATTTTGTTCTGAATCAAAAAGTACGGCTCATATGTAAGACTTCAAATCTTGGTCTCCAATACTGTAATGCCCACTGTACCTAAGGGAGACAACCAGCTATGTTCTAAAATGATGGATAAATTTGTTTCCTCCCCCTATCTAGAAGCCTTTGAGAGGGAACTGACACTGATTTTAACCACTCCAACAGCTGTCAAAATACCTGAAAGCAAACCCTGAATCCATCACTCTAGAGTCCAGACTTGGAAGACAAAAGAAAAATGAGGAGGAACCCAATAGAGGGATGCTTTTGGAAGCCCTTGTCAAGAAATTCCAATGGACTCTCACAGGAACCATATGAACATTTGAAATTTGTCCTGTTCTGACTTTTTTCTAGATCCCTGTCTAGAACTTGTAATGCTAACTACTCTTGCCTTTACTTCTCCTTCACATCTCCTATTCATGATTCAAGGACTTTCTTTTCCCCCTACAGATAAGACTTACACAATTTGGGAGTCTTTTAGATAGACCCACTGAAGGGGTACTCTAATTGTCTCACCCTGCATCCCTGTTCAGCATGGAAGAAGCCAGAGTGGTCTGCATCTCGAGTCCCTATCTGCAAGCTGGGTCCTCTTCAGAGAATGGCGTGATAAGAAGTGGAGGTAGGAACTGGCTAGGCAGTTAGTGTAAAAAGACCCCCCAAAAGTAGCCAGCTTCTTGGCTAAAAGTTAAAATGTCCTTGGGCCTTGTAGCAACATACACCATTCCAAAGGCCAAAAATGTCAAAAATATTTGGGAGCTCTTATCTAATCCTTAAAAGATTTTAGGGTTACCTTTCAGAGGGGGGGAAATGTTAGAGTAGCAAAAAGTCCCATAAAAAAAAAAAAAAGAAGAAAGAGTACATGAAGTTATCAGAAAAAGTGATGGGGAGATATGGGAGGAGTTGGAAGGGAGGGAGTGGGCAATGAATTTGATCAAAAGACCTTATATGCTTCTATATAACCCTTTATTAAATTCTCAATAGATTATTTTTAAAAAGAATACTATATTACTTTCATAGCTTTTCTGAAATTGAGGTAAATCATTAAAAAGCACATAATTATCTTTTGCATCCACTCAATATCAGTTAAATTCAAGAATGAAAATGATCTTTTTAAAACTTGTTAAATTTTTTGCATGTATAGTAATGTTTTC